ACACAGCCCGACTTTGAATGGCCCACCCTGTCCCTGGACAACATGGACACTGGACGACTCTGCACGACCCTAGACGACATTGCACGACACTTCACCGCATTCGACAATGCAACACAGTGCAGAAAAGAATAGCAACATTGCATTTCTACACTTTTTGTTCACGATCGATAACTGAAGTTTTTTCGATCGCGCGCATGCGCACGTCTTGTCGCTTGGCGCATGCGCGCGTCTGCTTAAACTCGCGAAATCGTTCGTCAAAAGAAAATGCATAATCGGTTCTAAGGTTACTGCAATGATTTTGAATAATACTGTGCTTTATTAACGTAGCCAAAAAGAGGAATGAAAAGCCACCCTTAACGGCTGCCGTCAGTTACGGATTTAAGTTTGGCGTCCTGACTTACGATGCCAATTTTGGATGGTGTAAACTAAAGATAGATACCTGCCAACACAAACGACATCCTTTTTTTTTATTTTTAACCCAATAACGTTAATAACTATTTTTGTACTCTCCCCAACCCTTGAGCAAATCGTGTATGTACTAGTATATTCCCCATCATGTTTAGACTTTGTGGTCTAGATCGGAAGTAACATTTTACTGGACTATTTCGCCCAAAATCAAGACATTTGATGAGCAGGACATGTAGTTATTAATGAAGCAAATTTGATATGGGCGCAATCGCAAGAAATAATGAAACGAATATCCCATGATCCGTCCCCTCTTTATTAATTATCATTACGATGACATATCAAATATGTATCATTAAATATTTTGTTCTATGTAAAGGGAATATATACTGGACAGGTTGTATTGTGACTTATATATGGTAATAATTGGGGGGGGAGGGGGGAATCAAAATAATTTGAAAATCACACAATAATGTTGATTTATTAGGTGTATGGTCTCCGTGCTACTGTAAATGCCTATCCATCGCTCACGTGTGTGTGCCTTGCAGAGCCGCCCGAGATGAGCCGCCTGCCGAACGTGACGACGGTGCAGGAGGGCGAGAGCACGTCCTTCCGCTGCGAGGCGCGGGGCTCCCCTCCGCCGGCGCTCACGTGGCTCTTCAACGGCGAGGACGTCGCCCCCGACGCCCACTTCAAGCTCGCAGGTACACCCCTTCATCCTGTGGCTCTCGCGGCGAGCTAGCGCAGCAACTGACGTCACCGCAGCCCTCCGTCCTAGGCTCGGGTCCCGACGGTGGCAGGATTCTCAACACTAGCTTGTCAGCTATTCAGTCGCTGTCCGCAGGAGTGTTCTAGAGGTCGGCTGCTCTGATCGGTAGTTTTGTTCGTGGATTTATCCGATCAACACCAGGCGAATACCGGGGCAGTACCCTAACAAACGGCCCAAGGACCGCGCGCGATCCCACTGTCCTCTTGTTTGCCCTGTCCTCACCCCCGTACACACACTTGCACCAACGCGTACTACACAAACACGCGTGCCGGGAGACCGATCGGGTGCTAAGAGCTTGACCAGGCTGGGGTGGGAGATATCTGGTTGGGGAAAACCCCGCTAGCCGACGGTGGGTCATCTCGCCTTACATCGGGGGAAGACCATTGCCACCTCCAGAGCAGAAGCATTCACTACGCTTACGGGACTACTGGCCCTAGCATTAACGTGCCCGAAATCACTATCAATCAATCTAACAATGTTTCAAGCCTTTATTTGACGTTGAAAATTGAGTGATTGTCCTCGAACTTACTGATAAGTCATTAAGCATGGTGTAATTCTCCATGAACTTAATAATCTAGTCATAACGCAGTTACCTTTTATCCCTATCGACGAGAGGCTCGGTGCCGTTAGTAACTGGGTCTCCCAGATGGTCACCCATCCAGCGCCCCGCGGTGACTCAAGCTGCTTCACCTGTGTGACTTCACAGAGCGTGGTTAAGCAGCTCGGGTTTCCGCCTACGAAGCGTAAGGAACCAAAGGGACAGCAACCAAGGGACTGGCAACACAAGTGCTGGTTCTGCCCATGCGCTCGCGAATGATGTCATTTGTCACTCCTTCTTTCACTCCTTCGTTTGAAGTTGTCTCTTTGTGCATTTCTTACACTCTTTCGACACTTCCTCATGCGATTTCACGAAGAGGCGCATCCAAACGTCCGACATGGTGGAGGGACATTTCCCAGAAATAAAAGTGGCGTCCACTTGTTTCCAGAACTGTCCTTTGCATGCTGTCCAACCGTAACTGAACTGGACTCAACGCTCATGGCGTCCTAAAGAGAGTGCCATTTTCATGAATTTACATGATACTACTGACTGAACTGTACTGATTATTATTTAGTGAACCGCTGGTCTATTATATTACTAGTGAGTATTTTCTCTCAATATACACATTACCTCTCTCTACCAGTTAAGATGGCTCACAACGTAAGTCGCTACTGTGCTGTCTGTAACCAGGAAATTCTCGGGTTCGAGTTCCGACGTTAGCAAGTTTTAACCTAGTTTTCAACGACGTTGGCAAGTTTTTAAGTTTTTACCTAAGATAGCTAGGTCGAATTCAGCCACTCTCTGAAGGAGATTTCTAGCGGTCGGCTTGTCTAATCTGCAGTTTTTCGTAGTTTCTCTGATCAATATCAGGCGATTGCATGAAAAGTACTCTCACGAATGCATGCAATCTTTCCTTCCCCGTTCTTCACCTATCAACGCATCTCACACACACACACACACACAAACTTACGTACATTACACTACCAGTAAGTCGAGAGACTAGGCGGGAGCTTAGGGCTTATCTCGCCTGTGGTGGTGCCACAGTTGGAGATATCTAAAGGAGGGAAATCCGCAGACCGCCGTGAAGGTCTGCAGGTTCATACGGAGACTAACATCGCCATCTCTCGCTATTTAGCATGCACTACACTTACAGAACTATTTACTAAAGCAGTTGACGCGTTCGGAATACAAAATAGTCAATCTTACCTTTTGTTTAAACACTGATTGGTGTGTACAAAATACATTTTTTGTTCCAATTTTTTTTCAAATAGATGAACAACTCACAAATCTATTAATAAAGTTGACATTTATTTAAAGAATTTTAATATTTTTAAAAAAAATTATCTCCATCTTCCCATTCTTTCTCTTGCAATCTTTTTCCTTTTAAAATTTGTATTATGTCTTGTTTGTCTTCCTCGCCTTCTTCTACCATTTGGAAATATCACCCATATCTAAATGCACCCAATCCTCTCTCTCTGACGGCGTGTTGCGCTGTGTTCCAGGCGAGGCGGGTGGCCTGCTGCAGCTGTCGCGCGTGGAGAAGAGGCACGCCGGTACCTACCAGTGCTTCGCCTCCAACGCCGCGGGCGACGCCGTGCGCTCCGTCGAACTGCAGGTGACTTTCTTTTGTCCAAAACGGTGCGCTGACAGTTGAATATCGCACCCAATTGGATGTTATTATAAAAGTTATAATGAAACACATGCTCTTCGTAATAACTTTTTAGGCAGGTATAAAAAATAAAATTAATATAATTTTAAAAATAACTGGAAATATTGATTGTAATTATTAATTATTAACAGTTCTACAGTGTTTGATTCATATGTTTTTAATAAAACGAACATGTATTGAAAACGGTAACCCAACGTTATTGCAATCCTTTATGCTGATAGTTCAAATCAATAAATCAAATGAAAGTCTTTATTGACGAAACAAACACATTCAGTGTCTACCTGTTGATCAATATTTTATAAAACAAAATAAGAAATAACTCTGGGGCGTCGCAGTTAAAATGTTGAAAGATAGTTACACGTTTGATATAACATTACATTAATATTGTTACTTTAATACTATTTTAGCGCTGAAGCTTGAAATGTACTTGCACTTTTTAGTGGTTGGAAATTATTAATTTGCGGTACAAAATTGACTTTGCCGTACGCGTACCGCAATAAAGTCACGGCCATATAAAACAATGGGCACTGCAAGGAAACAAAACACTGGCATTACACGAACCAACATGGCAGACGCCTCGCATATTAAGATTGAAACCAAGACTACATAAAAGTTTTCATGAAATCGTACTAAAACATTATGTACGAAGGTACCTTTGGCGCGCTCATTTCAAAATATCGTATTGACCCGGCTGAGGCGATACCCTCCTGGTGGGAGATTCCTGGTTGGGGAAACCCCGCAAGCTGACATGGCGGTTAGGTCTGCTCCAGATCTCACCACCCAGTGAGAGGAAGATGATCGACTCCTCCCACGATAAAAAAATCACTACACTTACGAGACTATTGACCTTAGCAATAGACGCGTCGCGAATTACTAATCCATGATGATGATGACTGGGAGAGATGGCTCAGGGCATCAACTGATGTCACTGCAATCCCTGTGACCAGAAGGTTCCAGGTTCGAGTTCAGACAGTGGCAGGATTTTCGATACTAGCTTGTCAACTAGCTCGAGTTCAGTCGCTGTCTGGAGAAGAATTCTAGCGGCTGGCTGTTTTTCGTGGTTTTTCCGAACAACGCCAAGCGAATGTCGGAGCAGTACTCTAACAAACGGGCCACGAATATTTCCTTTCTCCTCCTCCTTGTCCTATCCTCACACATACCTAACCCAACACGCAGTACACAAACACACGTGCCGGGAGACCGGTCGGGAGGTTGGAGCTTGTCTCGGCTAGGGCGCTTCCCCGCTGGTGGACCTATCGCTAGCCGCCGGTAGGTCGGCGCCACATCCCGAGCAAAAACGTGCACCACACTTACGGGACTAACGATTCTAGTAGTTGGCACGTCCGGGCCTGTCTTCTACCATTTGGAAATATCCACCCATATCTAATGCACCCAATCCTCTCTCTCTGACGCGTGTTGCGCTGTGTTCCAGGCGAGGCGGGTGGCCTGCTGCAGCTGTCGCGCGTGGAGAAGAGCACGCCGGTACCTACCAGTGCTTCGCCTCAACGCCGCGGGCGACCCGTGCGCTCCGTCGAACTGCAGGTGACTTTCTTTTCTCAAAACGGTGCGCTGACAGTTGAATATCGCACCCAATTGGATTATTATAAAAGTTATAATGAAACACATGCTCTTCGTAATAACTTTTTAAGGCAGGTATAAAAAATAAAATTAATATAATTTAAAATAACTGGAAATATTGATTGTAATTATTAATTATTAACAGTTCTACAGTGTTGATTCATATGTTTTTAATAAACGAACATGTATTGAAAACGGTAAACCAACGTTATTGCAATCCTTTATGCTGATAGTTCAAATCAATAAATCAAATGAAAGTCTTTATTGACGAAACAAACACATTCAGTGTCTACCTGTTGATCAATATTTTATAAAACAAAATAAGAAATAACTCTGGGGCGGTCGCAGTTAAAATGTTGAAAGATAGTTACACGTTGATATAACATTACATTAATATTGTACTTTAATACTATTTTAGCGCTGAAGCTTGAAAGTACTTGCATCTTTAGTGGTTGGAAATTATAATTTGCGGTACAAAATTGACTTTGCCGTACGCGTACCGCAATTAAAGTCACGGCCATATAAAACAATGGGGCACTGCAAGGAAACAAAACACTGCATTACACGAACCAACATGCAGACGCCTCGCCATATTAAGATTGAAACCAAACTACATAAAAGTTTTCATGAAATCGTACTAAAACATTATGTACGAAGGTACCTTTGGCGCGCTCATTTCAAAATATCGTATTGACCCGGCTGAGGCGATACCCCCTGTGGGAGATTCCTGGTTGGGAAACCCCGCAAGCTGACATGCGTAGGTCTGCTCCAGATCTCAACCCAGTGAGAGGAAGATGATCGGACTCCTTCCACGATAAAAAATCACTACACTACGGACTATTGACCTTAGCAATAGACGCGTCGCGAATTACTAATCCATTGATGATGATGACTGGAGAGAGGCTCAGGCATCAACTGATGTCACTGCAATCCTGTGACCAGAAGTTCCAGGCGAGTTCAGACAGTGCAGGATTTTCGATACTAGCTTGTCAACTAGCTCGAGTTCAGTCGCTGTCTGGAGAAGAATTCTAGCGGCTGGCTGTTTTTCGTGTTTTTCCGAACAACGCCAACGAATGTCGGAGCAGTACTCTAAAAACGGGCCACGAATATTCCTTTCTCCTCCTCCTTTCCTATCCTCACACATACCTAACCCAACACGCAGTACACCAACACACGTGCCGGGGAGACCGTCGGAGGTTGGAGCTTGTCTCGCTAGGGCGCTTCCCCGCTGGGGGACCTATCGCTAGCCCGAGCCACATCCCGAGCAAAAACGTGCACCACACTTACGGGACTAACGATTCTAGTAGTTGGCACGTCCGGAATCCCTAACAATCAATCAAACTAATCCATGAATGAATGCCCGACAGGTGTCGCCGAAGCAGATCCTGCGGCGCGGCGGAGCACTCGGCGGGCGACGCGCGGGCGGCGGTGGCGCGGGGCGGCGAGGTGCCAACGGCCGCCAGCCACCACGCCCCCGCCACCGCTAGCAGCCGCCGCCGCCACGCCGCCGTCCCCCGCGGCGCCGCCCCCGCCGCCCGCCGCCGCGCCGCCGCCGCCGCGTCCCACCCGGACGGAGAGAGCGCCACCACCGCGATGGCGGCGCAGGAGGAGAGAGGGGCGGCCGGGGCGCGGCGCAAGGACAAGGGCAGCGCCGCGGAGGCGCGCACCGGAGAAGGGTGAGGCGCTTGAGCGCAGGCTTGTCTGCTTCTGGCTGATCCTCTTTCTCTTCGCGCGTGCCTTTGCTTCGTCTGTGCCAGCGGTCTCTCCTCTTCTCTTTAACGCCTTACCTTTTTTTCGGCCTTCTCGCTTCCTTCTGCTCTTTCATCCCCTCTCCTCCCTCCTCCATCTTCCTCATCCTCACCTCCGATTTTCTCATCCTCCTTCACTTCCTTTCTGCTTTTTGCTACACTTTTTTTTTGTGCTCGCAAATTTTCTTCTTACTCCCTTGTTGTCGTTTCTCTTTTTCTTAATTTTCCTATATTTTTTTTCTTAATTCCATCAGCTTTTCCCTTTCTTTTTATTTTTTCTTCTGTCTTTCGTCTTTTTTCTTCCCCTCGCATTCTGTTGACTTGTTCTTCTGTAGTTCTTCGTTTGATATTTTTTGTGGTCTGTTGCTATTTTCTTTTTTCAATCTTTCTGTCTGCTTTTTCTTTTGACTGTCTTACTGCTTATTTTATTCCGTTCGTGTTCCTCTTTTATCAGATTCCTTTCATTTTTATTTCCGCATCATTTCTTTTTCTCTTATAATTTTTCTTCTCCTGCCATTTTGTGCGCTTCACTTCTCGTATTTTCTGCATTTCTCTACCTATCCTGATCGTCTGTCCTCCGCGTACGTGCCTCTCTCATCTTCTTCTTCTTCTTCTTCTTCTCTTCTTCTTCTTCTTCTTCTTCTTCTTTCTTCTTCTTCTTCTTCTTCTACCTCCGATTGAGCGAACGCTGTTTCGCTAGTCGCATGACCTGCCTTCCGAAATCGAGTCTTCAGTGTAGTTTTTTTTTTTTTTGCCTTTCTCCTTCTTGGTTGTCTGGCCCCTGTCATGCCTGTGTCCCATCGGTGCCCTGTCTGTCTTCTTCTCTCCCCCCCTCCGCCGACGGACCCTGCGTGACGCCTGCGCGTGTGTCGCCAGACGCGATATCCCGCCGTCGAAGCCCCGTGGGTGACGCGACTGTCGACACATCGGTGTGGTGCGCTGGGACGTCCCGAGCAACGACGCCTGCCCATCCTCTTCTTCAAAGTGCAGTACGCGAGGCCGGCGCACGCAGCAGCGCGCCGGGGCGCGCGGCGGCGGCGCGGCGCGAGCAGGAGGCGGCTGGCTGGAGGCGCGGGGGCAAGGCGCGCTCGGGCGTCGGACGCCGACCGCCGCGCGGGCGAGGGCTCGCGCTGGTACGCACAACGAGACATCTCGGAAGCACCGGCGAAGCCCTCAAGGTGGACAAACTGCGCCCCGACCACACCTACAGGTCAGTGGGGTGGAGTCCGCAGGGCCCCGCTCAGCGCAGGCTTCCTGCATTGAAAGCGTTGTGCAGACAATGGCATAAAATGAAATGAGTGAAATGAATGATGGATTTGAGTGAATGAATGCGAGTATGAATTAGTGAATGATGAAGAGTGGGAGTTGATTCACGACTGAACAAATGAGTGAATGAATGTATGAATGAATGAGTAAATGAATGAATGAATGAAATGAATAGTAAATGAAATGAATGAGTAAATGAATGAATGAGATTCATCAGACTATCAATCTCCCCTTCCTACTTCTTGTTTCTCCTCTTGTTCTCCTCTTCTTCTATGTCCATCTTGTCATTTTCTCTTCTTCACCTTCTCCTCATTATCCCTCTGCATACCCCTCTCCTTTCATTGTTCCCTCTCCTCATTGTCCCTCTCATGCCCTCTCCTCATGGCCCTCTCCTCATTGTCCCTCTCCTCATTGTCCCTCTCCTCATTGTCCCTCTCCTCATTTGTCCCTCTCCTCATTGTCCTCTCCTCATTTCCCTCCCTCATTGTCCCTCTCCTCATTGTCCCTCTCCTCATTGTCCCTCTCCTTCATTGTCCCTCTCCTCATTGTCCTCTCCTCATTGTCCCTCTCCTCATTGTCCCTCTCCTCATTGTCCCTCTCCTCGTAGTCCCTCTCCTCGTAGTCCCTCTCCTCGTAGTCCCTCTCCTCGTTAGTCCCTTCTCCTCGTAGTCCCTCTCCTCGTAGTCCCTCTCCTCGTAGGTCCCTCTCCTCGTAGCCTTCTCCTCGTAGTTCCTCTCCTTGTA